TCCCCACTCTCTGGCCGGGCTTGGGGTCGGGGCTGAAACCCACCCCCCGGGAGCCCACGGAGCCCCTCCGACCCCGGCGCGTTTGCGTGCGGGAGCCGCGCTATAAGGAGGGAGGGAGGCAGGGAAGGAGGGCAGGGAGGGGTGTGTGTGTGGGGGGGTGTCATCTCAACCCAGCGCGGTCTTATCCCCCCCCCTCACTCCTCCCACCAACGAGTGGTGCCTCTTAACCCCCGGGAACCTCCCTCCCGGGCAGCACTGCTCCGCTTTGCACAACACCGAGTTGATGAGGAAAAAGCCGATTCCCGGCGGCGGGCAGCCATGAGCTGTTTGGATGTTATGTACCAAGTCTACGGTCCTCCCCAGCCCTACTTCGCGGCAGCCTACAGCCCCTACCCCCAGGTAGGCGCGGGGGGCAGCGGCGGAGAGGCAGGGGGTGGGAGGGGTGTCGTCTGGAGGATGGCCGTCTGGGGCCTCACCAAAAGGAAAAAGGGAAAAGGAGAAGGGGAGGGGAAAGGGTGGGGGGACAAGATCTGGGAGCCTGCGATGGTGAGCGGAGCAGAACCGCATCCCACCTTGGCGCGGGGCTCGGGACGGTACGTACCCCGGCGGCGACCGACGGGCTGCGGGCTGCCTCGGGAGCCGGAGCGCGATTTTAACTCTGCGGTGGCTTTTGAGGGATATATTTTTTTTCTTCTTCTTCTTCTTCTTCTTCTTTTCTTTCCCTTTGCCGGGACGGGCTCCATCCCAGCGCGACGGGTCGTGGGGGGCGATGCCCGCGGTTTGCGGGGGTCCCGCCGGCAGCGGCGAGGCAGGACTGCCCGGGGCATCGCTCCCCGCGCCGCGTCGGCATCCCCGCCGCCGCTGCGGGACCCGCTTCGGGCTGAGATTTTACCGGCCGCCTCGGAGGGGGAGTCCCGGGTCACCCCCTGGACGTGGGGGAGGCGAGAGCGGCGGGAGGCTGCGGGGGTTCCCCGCTTTGGCGGTGGGGGGGGCAGCCCCGGCCCCGAGGGGGGGCGGCGGAGCTGCGGGGATGCTCCCCGCTCCCGGGCCCGCTCGGCGGCGGGACCTCGGCCCGGCCCCGGCCCCACCGGGCTGCCGGCGGCGAGACCCGCGGGTGCTCCGTGGCCGGGAGCCGCGTCCCTCCGCGTTGCGCGCAGCTCCGCCCGGGCTGGGT